CTGTTACCTTCCCACCGAAGTGGTACCTATTTATCTACTTGCAATTTCTTGCTTTCGAACTGCTAGGTTGGCAGGAGATATATATATATATATACACACACCCCAATGTTACTGAAACACCTTACACACACACACACACACACTCTCTCTCACACACACACTCTCTCTCTTAATGAAACACCCCCCCTCTCTCTCTTTTACTGAACCCCCCCCATCCCCGTTTAAAAGTCCTTCTTAGAGAACAACCTGTAAAGTAGGTTGTATTACAAAGGTGGGTGGGGTGGTGGTGAGATGGGATTGGGGGACCAGTGTTCCCTCTCAGCTGCGCGGAGTCCAAAAATCCAACTTTGTGAGCTACTGGGCCTTAAAGTTGTGAGCGAGCGATTTGGCGGCTGCATGAAATTAGTTTTGCTCCGGAGCCATCCTCCCTCTCAGCTGTGGAGTGCTGTGAGCAAAAATTCAACTTTTGTGAGCTACTGGGCCTCAAAAGTGGCGAGCTGAACGATTTGGCTGCTGCAATAAATTAGTTTGCTCTGGAGCCCTCCTTCCCGAGCGAAGACAAAAAAAATGTGTGAGCCAGAGGCTAAAAAATTGTGAGCTGGCTCATACTCACTCAGCTTAGGGGAAACATTGATGGGGGGGACTCGTCAAAATGAGTTGAGCTGGACGGGAGGGAATTTAAAATGTGTACAGTATTTTACAGAAGGCGTTCTGCTCTTCACGACCATATTTCTCTAACATTCCATAATATGTGCTCTTCACTGTGTGTGTTGAGATCGTTCTGCATTGCCTCATGTTCTCAAGCTTTATATCATATGTGTGTGGTAGCCGTATTTACAACCTGACTCTGTGTATGTTTACTGTTGGAAGTGACTCCTTTTGACTTCAGTGGGGTTACATGGAAATGTACACACAGTGGCTTCCTGACACTCTTCTGAGCCAGTTGACTTCAGTGGGTTTTAAAGGTGTAAGTTTCGTTTAGGATGACACTGTCCATTTCCCATTTCTCCAAAGGATTTCATTATTGCTCCTGGCCTGTCTCCTCTGAGTCTGAACCTTCTAGTATCTGTACCCTTTCTTCCCCATGGGCAGACTGCCTTGAGTATTGGCTCATTTTTCATCTTCTAGCTGGTTAATTTTTAAACAGAGGTGTCAAGCTCAAGTATGCCTGGAAACTTTACCTCTTGATGTCGGATAGATCTAGGTGGGTAGCTTGTGTTGGTCTGAAGCAGTAAAACAAAGTGCCACTCTACTCAAACTTTGTTCTCTTGATGTCAGGTATGTGTGGATAAGTGATAGTTCTCCAGTTAAGAGGAAAAGGCATTTTGTGCCAGCTCCGGCACTTTTTAGTTCATTTATAGTCCACCTTTCTTGCTTACACTCAGGGTGGATTACACAATTAAAAACAATGCAATAGGATCAGGAAACAGTACAATAAAACTAGATTGCAGTATTAGAGGACACCACGCTAAGCAGTATAACATATACAATGAATAAGGGTGAGCACTTGCTCCTTCCCGGTTTAGGGTGACCATATTCCGCATGCATATCCTTATTCAATTAACTGTACTTTTACCTTTCATCCTAATCACTTTGCTCAAGATAAAATTCCTACATACAGTACGAAATAAATACATGCATGCGACTGACAGCTTGCCTGTATGGGTGATCGATGCACCTCCCTACATAGATATGACACTTCTAGATCTTTTCTGATCTGATTATAGGCTAATGACTGAGTTGACCTGAAACATGCTCATATGAGCAATAGAACACCGAAAATTGAAGCTTGAGCTGTTCCACAATTAGTTGTTTTGGACAGTTGATAGATACTTGTTCAGAAACAATGAAATATTGTGTTTGCTAGCTTGGATATTTGCAGGCTTCACAAATTGAAAGAAAACTGAGATTTGTTAGTTGCCTAAATTTGAGATTAACCGGTGCTGTTATAGCATCTTTTGTTCATTAAATCCACCTGTAGGATCTTGGGTATTGAAATTAAATCTCTGGTTGGGAGATGTAGTGTTAAACTAATGGGATGTCTTCCTGGCTGTGATGTTGCATTAACACACAATCTCCAGTGCTGACTCCAATAGAGAATGTTCAACAATGACACTTTCCTCAATTCTGTGTCACAGTCATTCACGTTCAGTTCATATATTAGCCACACCACTTATTTCCTGTGATCTGTACGTTCTGGGTCTCCTTCCATATAATTTACTTCTATAGCCAT